TTTAACGCAAAACCTCGCGTAAAACCGTAAATACTCGAATAAACATCAAGTTTGAAAGTTATATTGTCTATTTATTATGTGTTTTCTAGCTTTTTGGCTAAGAAATTCACATTTTACTTTTTAAAAATCTTTTACAAATTATTAATAAATAAATTTTGAATATATAATAAGATTAAATATCTGTTTTTTCGCTTTACGAAGAAGCGAATCAAGTAGGAATGGATGAAAATGAACCGAAAAAGCAACACTTCATCCCCAATATTAGCAACCCCTAGATTATTCACATGTTTGGGGATGATTCTAGCCTTAGAATTCACTTCCACTTTGAGTTTTTCTCTGTGTCTCTCCCCTCATTTGAAAGGGACTTTGTTCATTCAGAAGACAAAGTTCCCCTTTTGCAGCAAAAAGTTATGAGAAATTCTATGAGTTGATTTGAGGACTTTCTCTCGACAATATTAGGCGTTAAAATGAGGACGTGGTCAAACAAATTTACAAACATAACTTTCACGCTCTGTTTTGCACAAGTTCTCAAATGTAATTCAACTCTCAAGCTTCATCTTTCCATTTGATCATTAGGCAACTGGCGAACATTTGACTCTAAAGGTTTCAAGGCACATTTCTGGGCCAGGAAACAAGGTTGTTTTCTGTGCCTTTCAGACGCTCTGTGACACCTGAGAATGCCCAGTGATTTTTTACCCACTGAAGCTCCCTGCAAGAGGGTGAAATATCGCTGTTAATTTCCCTGCCAGTCACAATTCCCAGTTTCACCCTGTGGGCATTATTTGTGCACATACCATTAGATAATTTAATATAAAGTCTACCGTTTGCCTTCCACTGAGATTTCTCTGTTATCATCGTGTCGTTTGGGTAGGTTGTGTCTTGTCATTAAATCAATTACACTTTATTTTGCTACTGGGACCACCCAACCACCCACAACCCCATCCCATCGCGACCCCACAAAGTCACAAACATGCACAAATATCCTGTAACGCTTCTCGCCCTCTCTCGGCTATAATGAAGCCAAAATGGGTGGTTTGCTGCGGAGTTGAGACCACCGAAAGCTGTAATCTGCCAAACTTACTACTCTCCTGTGATTCTCTGCACAGCACTTACACTTATTCAAACTTTTTACTAGGACTTTTGCCCCTTGAAAAATTCCTCACAAACCGCGCCACGATCGAAGCGCTCTTTCAGGGTGGTTTGGGGTGGATTTGGTGGTTGTGTGTTAAAAAAGGCATCAACAATGGCCCCAAAATAGAGCAATAAAAATAAATTTAAAAGAGGTATTATGTACATTTTGACAAATATTGGCGAATCGAGGGAGAAAATTGTGTGGAAAAGAATAACAGGAAATGCCCAGCGATACGGAAATAACAGGAGGAATTTCCCAAAATATCTCGTAGACAATAAATACATTATAAATATTATTTGTGGAAATATATCGAATTATTTGTGCATAAATCTTCAAGTGGGACAAGGACTATATGAATTATATTCTTCCAGGACCTTGAGTGTGGCGAAAGAGTCCTGCTTTGAAGCCCATTCAGCACGGAGGAGAATGGACCATTGTGGTCAGCTAAACTCAATTCACAGAGTCCTTCCACCCTGTTTGCACCAAGAGGACTCTCTGGATATTTTCCATAAGAGCAGCAAAAGTTCGGCAGAGTCGCAAACATTGTCCCCACCCAAGAGTTCAAAGCTAAACTACGTGGAAACATGCTTCTTGGTCGGAATGAAAAGGGGCACAACAGCAGACTAAATTTCACCATCGATGTTCCTTCACAGCCTGACAAATGCCCAAAAAGGACGAACTGTGGATTTCGTTGCAAGCGAAGGAAAAATCGTCAACACTTTCCAACACTTCAAATCTCAAGGATTGTTGGAAAACAAGCTTAAAATTCTCAAATGACTGGAATCTAACCAAAATCTAACTGAAATCTAACCGAAATCTAACTAAAATCTAACTGACAGTTGTCTAAGTCTGTTTTAGATTTTTCTAACCAGATTTGCAGACATAGATGGTTTTTTGGATGATCTTATGATTTTAATTGCTCTTTTTTGAATTTTCAATTTTATTACTCTGGAAATCTAACCGAAAATTAACTAAAATCTAACTGACAACTGTTCAGTTAGATTTTTAACTGATTTTCTTCCTCCAAAATTGCATTTTTGTGTATTTTAAGGGAATCTTAAGAGATATTGACTAGAATATTTATATCTCAAAATGGCTACTGCTTAGTGAGAAATTGAGGTTATGTTTAACTTATATAAATACTTTCAATCAAGGCGCAAGAATTTCAACTTTAAGATGTTTATTGTAAAAAAAAAATGTCAAAATGCGAACTTGTATGAAAATTAATTCGTGAGAGTAAAATAATCAACAGAAATCTACTGATGATTGTCCCCTTTTGAGCCATGAAGAGCTTGTGCGAATGCTGGGCGTTATTTAAAAGAGTGCAAGGAAAGGAGGAAGAAAGGACGAACACGGTCAGACACGGTGGCTTGCAATTGTTTGCTTGACTTTACGTCTGAGTCCTGGGAATTGCTGCGAGGATGTGGTTTGGCGACGTCGGAAACTACTTACATGAATTTGTATTTCAGATACAATATGTATGGCGATAATAGTAAGTATTTTACGGATTTAACCCCATGCGATCCCGAGCTGTGTGTGCTATCTTAAGCGACACATGTGAGCAGATTAAAGTCACATTGTGCATTCCCTCCTTTCAACCCCCTTTCAACTTGGGGTGGAGATTATTTTTGGTATTTGAAGGTGAATTTCTGTGTCAGTGACTATAAAATAATAACCTCCACATTAACTACTTGTTCACGGAGATTTCTGAATAGCTCTCTCTTCTCAGCTGCAGCACAATGGCCAAGAGACATCATCGCCACGGCGATATGAGTGTTATTTAATGGGGAGCAGAGCAGGGATAAATCTCTTAAATATGGGGGATTACATGGGAAGGAATACGGGCATGAAAATATTACGCAAGTCAGAAATTGCGATAAGAATCAACACTAAATTGTCTGCTTCTCTATATAGAGAAATTAGAATTAACTTTTGGATTATAAGGCAGCATTCTTGTCATCTTGCCTCCGTTGTGTGCACAATGAGGGCTTTCTCTCTCTCTCGATTCACTGATAATCAAATTGATATCACAAACTGCACAGGACGGACAATGGGTATTATTTCTGAGATGCGCTGCACTTCAGCAGCGATGCACAAACAATTCATATTCGTCAAGGGGAGATTGTCTGAGTCCTGCCACAGCTGCAATGATCAATGGAGAGCCATTTTTCTCCACACAACATATCCCTGGATTTGTCAAAATATTGATATGTCTCTCAGACAATTCATATGCCATGAATGCCCAGAGACTTAGAGAAGGAAAACCGAAGAAAAAGGACAAAAAAGTGGAGGAGACGAATGGACGTTCGAATTGAAAAGAATAAATTGCATCAAGGACACAAAGGAGAGAATTTCTACGATGTTACATAATTTATCAAGGGGGAGATAATACAGCCTGAAATGATGTACAACTCAGTGGAAGTCTTGAGAAGTGTTTAAAAACTTCCAATTTTCCCTTCTTGAATCCTTCTTCTACTGGGAAATTATTCCGATTCTTTGGATTTCCTTCGATTTTCACGCATAATCAATCACAAAAATCTTTTTTTTTAGGTTATGTAACGAATTATGGACAGATTAAGTGAATAATTTATATTTTCGAACATAAATTTTTATGCTTACGTTAAAAAATCACTTTTTTTGGGGAGAATGAAGCATTTGCATGCAACAAACAGTGATTTTCTGAAGATTTTATATCAAGAAACACAGCAAATTGTAATGAACTCGAACATAACCTCAAAAATAGTCATTTGAACGTGGAAAATGCTTATTTAGAAAACTTTCTTGACAATTTTGATTCAAAATCAGCAATTTTGAGTTCATTATCAAATCATAACAGTGGATTTTGTGATTTAGAAAGCTTTGAAACGGAGCTTTTTGTAGATTTCTTAGTGATATTTTTAGGTTATGGCCTGGAAACATAACCAAATAAGCGTTTCAAAAGGATTCTTGCAGAAACATCGGATGGAAACTTAAGAGATTCATTACATTTTGGGAATTTTCAAGATCTGGAAGTGTTCTGAAGTGTTGTACAGATTTGAGGCATATTATCTCCCCCTTGTAATTTATATACAACACAATTATCACACAATTAGTGACATTGGCTGATTAATACTTAATTCATGGCACATGAAATTCCAGTTGAATTTTTTAAATCACGTTTCATACACTCTGTCAGAGTGTTATTTTGTGATTTATGGCAAAGTTAATGATACAAAATTCACTGGATATTCCGTTTGTAGCGTCAAATTACTGCTATCTGAGCACATCCAGAGTCTGTTTATGCATAATTCTTCGTCATCAAGAGAGAGAGAAAAGAGCGCTGGAAATTCTAAATACTCGCGCAAAAGTGTATTAAATATCGCGCGTTCGGGGATTTTGAAGGATTTATCGGGTGGATGTAATAAATTAATAGTAGACTTTCGCGATTTTCCCCATTGGCTTCCACACTTTCGGGGGAGAGTTTTGTGGCAACGAAGCGAGATATTGAGTAATTCAACTCGCTCACATTGTTCATGTGTAATCATAGCTAAAAAATTCCTCCGCCAAGAGATAAACCAAATATTTGGTGAAGCTCTTTTTTCTCGCATGTCCTGCACTGGGAATCCCTGGTTTTGGGGTTGGGGGTGGGGGTGGGAAAAAAAGACGCGCACACAGTGCAGATGACGTTTTTCCGCCCGTACAAAAGAGCACACTTTTCCTCATATGCAGAAACGTCCGGGAAATATCACTTTGATGGCAATCATGGCGTTTGTCAGCCATGAATTTTTTTGGGGCATTTCGTCGTCGTGAAAATGGACAAGATTGGTTGAATGACAGGCAGTTTTGCCAGACTATCGTCTAATAAATTATTAGCATCTTCAGTACTTACCATCCTCCTTGTCGCGTGAGTGTGAATCCGAATCTCGAGTCTCTGTCCACAGAGACACGAATCCCCACAATTCCGAGTCCCTGGGGTGTGACAACTTGTCCTCGCATCACAGACACTCGACTACATTTCATGTGTTATGTTTGAGACAGTGTTATGGAAAATAAGAAATAAGAAAAGGAAAACATAAAAATAAGTTTGATTCATATCATCGTCACGTGTGAGTTTTGCTTCTTCTCCAAACTCTCTCTGTTCATAAATATTTTATACAGCAATGGAGAAAATTGTACGTACAAGAAAAAAAACTAAGATGAGACTTCTTTTTATATACTGTACAATATATGTATATTTATATATATATATTATAATGTAAGTTTTTTTTGCGAATTAGTTTTGTTAGTGAGCGAAAATGCCAATCACAAAAATTTCTTCAGCACAAATTTTTCTTGCTCTTCAAAATTTGCATTAACCAATAAAGAAAGAAAGAAAAAAATAAGAAGAAATTCTGTTGCAACTTTGCAGTCATTTCTTTTCAAAAAAAAAACACAATTCAAAGATTTTTTGGGGTGCTTTTCAGTCCAGACAAAAGAAAACATATAAATCAAGAGAGAGAGAAAAAAAAACTTGCACTCGATATTTTATTGAGAAAAATCAAGAAGATTGAGAAAAACGCGCGCATCATAAAAAGCACATCAATTTCCAGTGAGTTCGTCATATATTTTTGAAGCATATTTTGAAGCATAAAGACAGCATAAATTGCTCAAGTTTTTCTCGCATTTTACGATTTGCCTCTGGCAGAAGTAGATAAATAGTGAGATTTTTCGCTGAAATTCACTTTTCCCAAAAGAAAAAACTCTTCTCAACTTATAACTTCAAATTGTGATGTGACGAAAACACTCTGCTCAAAATGAGGAAAAATCCTTGACAAACAGAAGAAGACGAACCCGTGAAAAAAGAGAAGTGAAAGAGAGAAAATACTTTACAAAATTAAAATGATATATAAACTCATGTCTCGGATGCTCGTGATGTGCGAAGAGTAGAAGAAATTGTGCAGAGAGAGAGAGAGAGAGAAAACTGAATGGCAGAAAAACTCAAATGTAGAGAATATGTCAAATAGTGCATTTTGAGGTAATTTTCCTGCATGTTTTCTACAAAAAATTGCCAAAGTGAATTTTTCATTAATTAGAAAATAATTTCACATCTGAAGAAAAATTAAATTGCTTCTGCAAGACATTAATTGGATTTCTTCTTTCACTGCTTGCTTCAGTGCATCTCATATTTGACGATATGATTTATAACTTGTTGCTGTTTGAGAAAATTCCTGGGAGGAATTCATTTCTTTTTCCCATCGCGCAACAAGAAGTTTATGTCTTGTCTTTGGGAATTTTCTGAGAAAACATCCACAAAAATTACCAATATTTTCAGCATGTCTGAGTTTATTATGCTAAAATTTAATATGTACAAGATTAAATTAAATAATAAAACTCTTCTGTGTCTATTTGATATCATCTAAAGCCAAAGAAGAAGATTTTGTACAGAAAATGATAGTAAAAAATTGTCAAACCACTCTGTTGAGGCATGCAGATCAAATAAGAATATCGTTAAGAACTGTACAGAGGCAACAAAAGACTTTATCACACCTTTAGCTCATAAAATCTCTTATCAATTGTATACTATTTATATGTTCTAAGAGGATTGGTAGACTATATATAGCATACTCTCAGTATACAAGTAACAAATCGTCTTTAATGGAACGTTATAGAATGTCTATAAAAAAATCTGTTATGTGTTTTGGAGATGCAAGTGCAATATTTATTTGATTTAATAAGTATATTCTCAATTTAGCATGAATGATTTGGTTTCTTCATCTTTTAACATCTCTCTCGAATGAAAATCAAAAAATCACACGTGATGAGTAAATATTTGTCATGCATAAATATTAATAGTATATTTCATATTTATATATATATATCATATTTCCCTTTTTTTTAGGCATGGTATTTATAGTAAGTGAGAATTTCTTTGTGGAGCTCCCTAAAGTATTTCCTTACTTATCACCCCATGGGAATTACTCGCTTGATTATAAATAGTATATAACAAGGTTTTACGAATATAACGAGCATAATATTCACAATATTACGTTCATAGGTCATAGCTATACGTATTTACAATTTCTTCAAACCCGATTATGAATGAGGAAAAGAAAATAGAAAATAAGGAGTAAAAACTTGCTAAATTACATGGTGTTTCTCTCATCAAATTGCAACTTCCTCGCCGAAGAAGAAAAGTCCATTCAGCGGAAAATGTCCGTGAAATATCTTCTCAAGACTCTCCTCTTTTTTTCTCCACTCTTTCTCTCTGTGAGACATTTGCATTTGAGGAAATGTTTCAACATGGGCATGTTTCAAGAGAAATTGCAGATACAGTAGCGAAGAAAGTTATTAAGACAATTAATTTTCGTAGAAAAAAAAATGTCTTTTATTGTGACAAATTCGGTGTTTTTTTCTAGTAATTAAGGCAAATTTTTAACTTAGAAATGTACAAGAACGCTTAATTGAGGCTTAAACCCATAAAATAGAGCTCAAATCGTCCGAATAAAGACGATTTATTTAGTTATCCTTCTTAATATTGCTGAATCGAAGGTTTTTTAAGTACTTTTTTTGCATATTTCTCTGTATTTTGCAATATTTAGGCGCCTAATTCATGAAAAAAATATCGAATTTGCCACAATAAAAGGGATGTTTTTAGTAAAACTAGTTGTCTAAGTATCATTTTCGCTCCTCAAAGTTGTCCTGCTGGTGGTTTGAAGAGGGAATTAAAATCTGGTCAAAGAAGTGGATTCGAGAGGCAAAGTTGTGGGACAAGAATCGTGCAGATGCTCGGAATATTCATAATATTATATGCGGTGTGTATTGATTTTTGACGGGGGTGAAAACTCAATTTCCCCTCAGTGGGAACTGTGTGTGTGTGTGTGTGTGTGTGTGTGTGTGTGTGTGTGTGTGTGGAAAACTTGAAAGCCGGCCAGAGCGAGAGCAAATGCGGTCAGAGCGAGCTGAAAGGTGGTTTTTCTGCACAACCACAGCAACTCTGGCCATGCGGAGTCATTTGACCATGTCCATTGGGTATGATCAAATTTTGCACCGCATCACCACTTGAGTACTCATCATCGTATCGCTATCAAAAGTTTTAAATCACTCTCAGAGCCACACATTCGAAATATTGTTCGCTGTGGCATAAATTGTAATGCAGATGAAAGTTTTCAATTCCCGGAGTAAAGGAGATTTTAATCAAGTCGCTCTCAATGCAAAACTGCACACAGTCGTTGCCAGATAGAGGGAGAGAGAGAGAGAGAGATCCAATTCCAATTGCGGGGGCGCTTTTTGGGGGAGGCAAATAAGCCCCGGAGGCTCTCTTCTGGCTCATGTCTTGGAGCGTGGCAAAGTATGGCAATTATAAATTCTCGGCTGCATTGCTTGCGCTCAGGTGGAGTTAAGTAAATGGCATGTGGCAGATAAGTGGGCGGATATCCCTATTGGGGTCACTTCCGGACATCCACCAGCACAAACAGGACGAGGCTGCAGTTGCAGCAATGCCCACAATACTTCAGATATTCCATTAAAATTTTAGCATATTGCATTGAATATGAGGAATCGTGCGGATATGGAGATCCTTGCTCATTCACACGTCCCGTGATTCCTCCGCCGAAGCCTCCAAAAGCACATAATCCTTCTCCCAGACAGCACACTGTGCTGAAAAGGATCCACAGCTGTGGAATAAGCGCATTTCAGTGAGCTTAAAAGCACGCGATATTTTAAAACATCGCAAAACGTCGACTTCAGCCAACAATTAATGCAGTTAAAAATAGAGATTAATACTTGATTTCCTTAATTTTTCATTCTCTGCCAATTTCAATATAAACTGTACAGTATTCCTCACTTAAGAGACTAAATTCAATCAAATTATTCAGCACAATGGGAAATTCCGTCTCCAAAACATTAACTTCCCATGGAAACTTTTCTACGTACAGCAAATTTGGCACACTCAAGGGGAAGATATTACAGCCAAAAGGGGTGTACGCCTTTTAGGGTAGTTTTAGGAAATTGGCAGTGGTAAAAATATTTAGAATATCTGACAAATTCAGGCATTTTCTCATTGATTTTGCTCAGTAAAATCAATTTTATTGCTTTTCTAGGTTATGTGAAATAAATGAATTAATTTAAAACCGATTCTGAGTTATTGAAAACCTCTCAAAATCATCAAATTTGTATTTTTAGCTGGAAATATTTCTATTTTTTCTGCATTTGTGTTGAAAATAACTTTGTATTGATTGAGAGACAGTTTCAAAGTCAATCAAAACCCTAAAAACATCATTTTAGTCTTAAAAATGTCTCTTTTCTTAGGTTTTTAATTTAGTTTTTAGCTCTAAAGTGGCAAAATATGCCTGAATTTCTATTAGAAACATTGTGATATTCGCTTTATTTACTCATTTTCAAATTTGACAGGATTATTTTTATTTTAAGAAAGATTTCTTTTGCTTTTCAAAGCAATTTCTGAAGGCAAATTTTTTGATTAGATTGTAAGAAGTTATAAATTGAGTGCAAGAAACAGTTTAAAGAGTGTGAAAGGCGAATTGTGGAAGTTTTGTACAAATTGAAGGCATAATCTCTTCCCCTTGGGCACTCTTGCCACAGCTTATAAATAAACTAGAAGTTGTGATAAATCTGTGGAAATGTATTAATTATGCTTTGTGGCAAAATTGGGGGTCTGAATAAGTCTTGAGTGATAAGCAAAAATTGTTTGTTTTCCCACAGAAAAACTACAAGTCACTGTCTTTAAGTGAGTGTTTATGGCAAATATGACACTTTCACCATTTGCCATCGTTCTTTTGGCCACATCCTTTCACTGCTGGTGTTAATTGCTCTGAAATCTCAATTAATTTCACTTGGCGCACAAGTGGAAAATGTATTGGAAAATTACGTGAGTCATGAAAGTGTCTGAATTTTCGGGGAGGATTTTTCCTCTCCCTTTTCTCCAGGGGCGGTGAATATATATATATTGTTGAGCATCTTTGTGGTGGAATTCATCTTGTGAAACTTTGCCTCAAAAGCCATTTTCACGAGGAGGAGGGAGAATAAGAGGTTTATAAATTGTTTTTCTTCTCTTACCTTCTGGACTTTTTGTCATAAAAACATTTGGCGCGCATAACAATTTTTTGGAGAAACACCATTTAATTTTTCATCTTTCAAATACTGTTATTCACAAATTGATATCGTGTAGTCATTCCTAATGATAATTTTGAAACTTAAAGGATAAGATATATATAATGAAAAAAATGTACACCTTTTTACAAATTTGAGAATCATTTTGGTATTTTTCTTTGGAATAAAATGTCTTTCTTGATGGAGTAGTTTTGATTTATAGTTTTGATAAAAATTTGTGAGGGTAGTTTTCATGGGTGGAAACAGATAATACGAATGATAGACGCAGACAAAGGATGGTAGGATGTTTTGAGGTTGAAAACATAGAATGAAAAATAAAATTTTTGGCACTCATTAAGAGTGCACATGAAAAAATATATATATTTATCTATTTATATAGTCATTTCATAAAACTGACCGTTTTATTCTTTCACAAGAATACAAATTAAAGAAGACAAAATATATGTATTGAGACAATTGAACTGAGAATTTTCATTTTGAACAAAGGAAAAAAAAACCATTTTTCCACAACTGAATAACAAAAAAATCATCTGTAAAGTGAACGAAAACTCAATTTGTAGATTCATATTTTCATTTTTTTGTTTGGCAGAGGAACAAAACCATATTTTTGAAACCCAAATAAATTTCTTTCATGTCTGTTTGTCATCTTTTCGACAAGCGAATGATCGAAAAAAATCTTGTTGAAAGTGTCAAAATGTGGGGTTAATTTTTCTCTTTTTTTTCTGATGAAAGAAGAGACAAAACTCAGGATGAAAAAGCATAAAAAGCGGGTGGGAAAACTATACTCATAATTCCATAATAAATAACAACTATAAACTAAAAGTAATGTAACAATATTATGTTCAATATTACTGATAAATATATTTGTGTGTTGCATGAAGTTTCATTCCGTGTGAAAAGTGGATGTGAAAAGTCTCTCTGAGGGTGTTTTACTACGGTTTTTTACTCTCAACAGGCACAGGAAGGAAATATAGATTTAATTGGACGTTTCCAAAATATTTGCAGATCCTCAGAAAGTGTCAAAATTCCGAGGATCTTTTCTGCTTCTTCTTTCATTACTGTGTCAAGTTATCAGCCAAGAAAATGGCTCTGAAGCTCAATATTTTAGGCAAAGGGAAACTATATAATACATGTAAAATTACTTACTGAACCTCAATGGAAAATCTATATAGTTTTAATGGCCATTTTCACAGTCAAACCAAGTGAATTTTTCCCTCGCAAAAGTGGGTCAAAATGTCGGTTATAGACTTTAACACATCAACATTTACAACTGCGGGGAGATTAAATTTCTGTGTGCTCAATGTTCATCGTTTATTGGATGAAGTGAAGTGAAGTAGTAAAAGAGTGTTTGTTTTTTTTTTTCTTTTTTGGTTATGTATAGTTAATAATAAAAGTGGAAAAACCAGAGCACAAAATAATAAAAAAGCAAAGCAATGGACAATAAATAAAAGTATTGTCAGATTTTATGACAACTATTAATTTTTTTCCTTTCTTGTCTCAAGGAGAACAAATATATATTTTGGGAGAATGGTGGCTTGTTAAGGGATGATTTTCAACAAAATAATTGTGGCCACGAAAGACTTTTGGATGAAAAGCTCCTTGCAAGCCTTGAAGAACTTCTTCAGTCCAAATTCATCATTCAGTGCCACGTGAAAAACACACAGAAAACACGTAAAATTTTCCAGGGGGATGATAAAAGAAAAAGAGAGGCCAAAATATAGGATGAAATCTTTCAATTTGTGTATTTACAAAGGTATTTGAGGGAAAAACAGAAGAAATAAACATATATTAATATAGGCGAAAGAAAAAAAGGGTGTGAAAAATGAAGAAAAATAATATTAGCCATAAATCTATCGTGATTTTCTTTCATTTTTTTTTGGTGAGGAAGAGACTAAAGAGAAATGAAAGTGAAAATGTAGTTTTTTTTTTATACACACAACCAAATAATAAAGCTCACAATCTATCGAATATTCACTTTTAGAGACAGACAAAGAAACAAAGGTTGGAAAATAAGTCGCACCAAGTGTAAAAAATTCCTTTCGAATATTCAAATATATAGTTTACTATATAAGAAAATTGTTTTGGACATACACATAAAACGAAACATCACCTTATCAACATAATCACAAAGATACATTAAGTGAGTAAGTGTGTATTCTTATTCGGTATTGGTTTTCTTGGACACAAGACACATAACATTCATTACAGGTAATTCATATATTAGTTTGTAGTAAAATTGGTGGAAAGAAAGACGGGGGGCGAATGGGGTGAAAATAAATGGTATTTCCAGTAAAATATGCTGTGAATGAGGGTAATGATTATGGTACACATGATGGGGATAATGAGATGAGCTGAAGAATGCGGGGATTTCTGGTGGCGGAGAAGGGAAAAAAATTGAATGGTTTTCGTGGGTGTTTAAGGGTGGAATTATCAATGATTGTCATTCAACGGTGAAATATGCGCTCGAAGAACGAAAGTATATATGGAAAAAAACGACTGTATAATTTGATCGAAACTCATAGCTTTGGGTTTGTCTTTTTCTTTTTTTCTTTCTTGGTTTGGGGCAGCGGGAAAAAGGGAGGCAATACAGAGAGAGAGAAAGAAACATTTTGGCTTTTGTGGTTTCGGCTGATGGGGTTGAAAATATAAATGGCAACAGAACACAAGGACGAGAGAAGAAAGAAAGACGGAAAAAAAATCATGAGAAACAGAGAGAGAGAAGGGCGGTAGGCTTAATGGGAACTTAAGAAAAGTATTCGTACAACAAAGAACTTAAAGGATAAGAGAACGGCTGCGACTTACCACGGTGTAAAGGAGTTCCAGAACTCGCTATGTTTGGACAAATACGGATTGTATTTTGTGCGATGGGCACACGGCATATGAATCAGAGCACCGAGGCACGGCACAGCGACAGGGACACAAAGAAGACAGGACAATATTACTAACCACCCAAATACTTGGCATACACTTTGTTCTGTGTGTTCACTCTGGCGATCTGCTCTATTGTTCGTCAAAACACGCGGAATGTCATCTCAAAAAGCGTCTGCAAATTCTCTATCATTGAGCGCGCCAAATGGATTTGAATTTCAGCCGAGAGTCGAATGAAATTGCGACTGATTTCCGAAAACAACAACAAAATAACACACATACACGCGCAATTAAGTCTTGAATTTGACATGAAGTCTGAATTCAATTGATTAATCCATGGTTTTCCCAAAAATTCCACAATTTGTGAACGCCAAAAAGAGGGAAAAAATCCGTATAGAAAGAAAATGTGGCAAAGAACGCAACATTTTAACCATGATTCTGTCTTTCTTTTTTTTTGCATGTGTGATTAAGAAATCAAGTGAACAAAGTATGGAGAATTGTGAAATGTGTTGCCAAAAGTACTTTGGATAAGCATATTAGTAGTTCGAAGAAGGATTCACTCGGGCGAATGACCAACAGACGACCGTCTGGCGACCGCGAATGTGTGAATCATTCTTGGAAAATTTACATATATTAATATAGACAAACACACACATTCATACTGTTTTCACACTCACTCATTTTGTCAAATGAAAGGAAAATTAAAAACCAAAACAGACAATATATACGAATTACATAAAATGCTTTCGATTGATTACAGAAAACCGAAAGTCAAATGAAAACCTATAAATTTCTAACTGAAAGTTTGGTATGAATTTTTTTTTTTTCTTTTTTCTTTGAAAAATAAGACATAAAGTGACGCAAAATGGAAATAAGAAGTAGATAAAATTGGTTTATAGAGAAAATTCCTCTTTCATGAATTCAATTTATAAGAAACTTTTATAAAGTCTATCTAAAGATAGAGAAAAAAAGGCGACAAATTAGGGGCAAATTTGTCGGAAAATTTCTTTCATCGCTAAGAAAATTAAAGTTTTCAAAAGTTATTTTAAAAATACATTGAAGAATAATAAAAAAAAACTGGGCAGGAAGCAACTGATAGTGAAAAAGTCTTAATGCAAATTGAATATTAACAAAATAAAGAAGAAACTGAAAAATGTCTTGAAAATTCTTCGCATCTAAATTTTTTCTCATCAAACCGCGTTCGATGAATGGTTTACTATTTTTGAGCAAAGAATAATTAGGACAAAACCAACAATTCATAACTCTTTAATCATTATTATTAAATTCTCAGACATAGTTTTTTGGAGTAAAAAAAGGGGGTTGTAAATGGACACAAAACACAGTCACATTGTCAAGGTGAGAGAGACTCTCAGTTCTTTTCTTACCATTTCCAGCAAGACACAATAAGTGCCATAGTGACGATGGGAAAACTTACAAGAAAAGTATCTCGATTGGAAATGGGAAGGAAAAACTTACATTGGAATATTGTGAGTGTAAAAGCCGAAGAATAGCAATCAATATTCAATGGCATTTCTTGAGAAATGGGTGAATTTCTTTTGCCTCTTGCAAATGCATTCAAAGGACTTTTTTTCCCTCTCCTTTCTCGCAGGTTGTTTCCTCACACCTTTGTGCACTGCGATTTTCCATCAAAATTCGTCAAATTTTCATGCTGGTGTGCCACGAAAAGGTTTGGATTTCAACAAATCAATCTTTCTACAATTTACAGGGACATTTTTCGGTTATCAAACAGGACAAATTGTGGGCAAAAATACAATCAAAACACAGGGGAAGAAAATACACAGAAATTACTATAATAATCTCTGGATAAATTGCATGATGAGTTCTCGGAATGGATTCAATGACACACACACAAATTATACGATTTCCCGATGAGAAGATGTCAATTTGGACGGATAAATGCACTTCAATGGATGAATTTTGCATTGACTGTATTTCATGTGGATATAAATTGGCACTTTTTGTGGAAAAAAAAAACCTCTCGCGGAGTGCTATTTGAAATTCCAATTTCATTTCATCCTCATTTCAACTGTTGAGGGAGTGAGAAAGGCAAAAGAAAAAGCAGGCCAGCGACGAAGAAATTGAGGAAGTATTCATGATGGGGCCAAGTATTAAGTATTTTCTCCGCATTTTATTTCTCCTCGACTATCTCAACACGCGAAAATTGTGTGCATTGACTTCTCATACTTTGTTATTGGATCGAAGAATATTTTTCATAGCCCATGAAGAGGAATTTCACGAGAGCGCGAAAGAGAGAGAGCGAGAGAGTGAAAGGGGGAAAAAAGTATTGCATTCTCTGGCTTCGGCAATGAAAGTCGAGAGGAAAATATGAAAAATGGACAAGGCGCGCAAAAAGGAAACGTATACAATTGAAATGCTATAAATTTTTCGAATTGTAAGATACATTTTTCGGGTGAGGAAAAGGGAAAATCAATAGGCAATAAGAAATTGCTGATTTTGCTCTCCCCGTCTCTTTCAAAACCACCCTCAACTACCCCCCAGTGTCTGTGCAGAGATGCACTTCAGCGATTTCCTTTTTCTCCTCACAACAATTCCACTCACACTTAATCTAATCTTATGGCGATGGAATTCTCCTTGGCTGAAGGAATTTCCAGTTTTTGACCAATTAAATTGGAAGAATGTCTAGAGAGTGTCTCCTGGCATTATTGTGTCCATCTTCAACCTTTTTCATCCTCCACTTGTGATTGCTCTTGAATAAATAAATTACTTTTTCGCAATTTTGTACACAAGACAATGAGAAAATTCAATTAAGACTTGCAACAGAAATAATTTCCTCAATAACGGCAACACAATGGAAAAACTATATATTGAGTATTGAAAAAATTTAGGGAGGGTGGAAAATACAAAAGACAACGAAAATATACAATTTTTTCTCAGATATATTAAATATTAATTACTTCAAACTCAAAGGTTGCAACGATAAATTGATTTTACTTGTGATTCTTCTTTCACTGGGGAAAACCTTTAAATAAAAATTGTCCTCTTTTTTCCTTGTTGAATAAGTACAAAAAAAAATTCTCAAGTTTCACGATGAATAGAGAATGAAAAATATCCTGTTTAGTCGTAATTTCTTTTTTTCTTTTGCATTGAAAACAGAATGAAAAATTTAAATAGAGAGAGATGAAAAATATAAAATCGTCGTCGAGAAGAAAAAGATAAATGAAAATGGTATGATTAAATTAATTTGTATTAATAGACAGGCAGGGGATTTTAGACGCACACATAAGGGTTGTTTTGGGTAGGCACATTAGACAAAACACATACTTGACAAAAATATACCCACAATCCGCCGAGGGTGGCGGCGGAATTTCCCGCAAGTGATATCAAACTGTGACATCAACCCCTGGAAATTCCGCTGCCAGCCGAAGGAGTCCATCAACAATGGAGCACTCTTCGCCCTCATGCAGGACTGCAGACAGTCTCCTTGTCAAGGGGAGAGAGAGAGAGAGAGAGATATGTGATGGGTTTTGAGGAGTTTCGACTTGTTGCTGGTGGAGATAAATGATTCTTGTTCTCACTTTTTTTTCTTCTTTTTTTGGGGCGGTTTGAGATCATGATTTTTGTTGCGGAATCATTTATGAATTCAAGAAAAAAAACCAGTCAATTTTGAGGTCTTTGTTCTCTTTTCTTTTGGTGACAAAACCTATACAAATAATCATATACATATTTTGGATTTGACCTAGAGATATTTATGTTATAGAATTTTGACTCCCATCTCCGAAACATAAATGGTATGCAAACAAAACACCTCAACGTCCAATGGAACTCAGTGAAAAAAAAAAACACCTTCCTAAGTGTTCATTTTGGGGGTGGGAAATTGTCGACTGACAATTACCGTCGTTGATTTTCTGGGGGTTCACTTTCCATCAAAAGGTGGATTTTGTAAGTGAAACTTCCACTCGTGCACTTGGTGTTAATCTATTATTTCACAAGGGCAATAAAATCCAATATACTGTGTTCTAATTTTCTCATAAATAAAATTCAGTCAAATATCGGAACTAAAACTTTACATTTTTTCATAGTACTTTTTCATAATATTTTTTAACCACACTCAAAGTTTCACCATCTGCGCTAGTTCTCAATATAAACGGCTCAACTATAGACTGACTTGTCATCAAATTGCACGAGTCACACTTTGATGAAACTTCTCACCTCAAAAATTATATTATTTATAAGTTACTTCTCTGAATATTTCATCATGTGGAAAAGAAAACTCAATAAAGTATATTAACTCTGCTAACATGACTAAGAGTTCTTCACTTTTTTTAATTTATTCTCTGGATTGTTGATGAACCAAAAGGAAGATAACATGTTAAAAATACTGGAAGAGTCAAATGTATATATACGAAAAATCAAAAAAAAAAAAATGATGGCGAAATCAACACAACTTGATTATATCCACAAATCCTCAGACAAAAATTTGTAAATCAACACAGAAAATCATAAAATCGTTAGTATAAATACCGAGTTAGTACAACAACAGAGAAACTAAAATGTCAGATTATTAGAAGAGTGTTAAGAAACAACTTAAACAACGATGTAACGATAATTGTGGCAAGTTATCTAATCGGCCAGAGGCTTAGGCGACTGACGGTTGGGCTTGAATTTGACGCAAAGTGAGCTGTCACAGTGACAGCTGTCACGCTGACACATGTCACTCGCCTAAGCCTCTCAAATTTGCGTGGTTACTGCGTGGTTATTGGTGGATAAATAAAACTCGCATCAATTCTGCTATCTCAAGTTATAAGGGGTGTCTTTCTGGGGGGTGGTGATGGGGGGCGGTGTGTGTGGGGTCGGACACATTGATATTTGCGGACTCACCTCTCGCTGTACTCGTCCATATGGGCGTACGATTGCACGGAGTTCTCCTCAATGAGGAACTTGACTCGCTGGTAGAAGGATGCGGTAACAGATGGTGGCTGTTTCCGTAGCAGAACTTCCACAGGATCATTGGATGCCAAACACATAATGTGCTCAGCACAAATTGGATGTGAACAGCATTCACTATCCGAACAATCTGTCATGCCGTCTGTAATACGAAATCAATAAGTTTTGTGGAATTATTCACACTGACAATTATTAGATTTTGATCTGAGACCACTTTTCACGCAGCCCGAGTGACAGTGAGGGAAATTAGGAGGAAAAATTGCATTCATCCATTCTCATGGCGCGTCGCCCTCTCGCCAGAGAGGGTGGAGAGATTCTCCTGGGGCTTCTTCACACTGTTATGCATACAGTGGCGGAAATTAGATTAAGACACCACTGAAATTTAGGCCAATTTTCCCTTTTGGTGCTAAAATTTCAATATTTTCTTCAATTTTACTTTTTCAGAACATCGACTACATGATTGTCCTTAAAGGATTAACTTGAAATCCTATTTTACACTTCATAAAGCGTTAAAAGGTAGCTAAAAACATACAAAAAGCAACTAGACAAGTCCAAATCAAGGCGCTTTTTAATGTAAATGTCTTCTAGACATTCCAAATTCATGATATAATGTTATAATATGGATTAAGAGTAAGATATGTAGTGTCTTAATTGAATTTTCGCTGTCTTTTTACGCACATCTTTCTCTATTTTGCAATATCTTAGCTCATAATTGTGATATTGCCATGATTTCAACGTCATTTGAAAGAAAATTAAATTCTAATTATTCCTTATTTTAAGATAATTGTCTCTAAAATTGAAAGAAATACCGAATTTTTAGCACCAAAAGAAAAATGGCCTAAATTTCATAAGTGTCCTAACTTAATTTCCGCTACTGTACATATATATATGTGGCATTTATATCGGTGAAAATTATAATAAGAGGCGCGCGGTGTCTCGCTGAAGATGATGAAGAAGTGGAGGAAAAAGTCTCTCTCTATGCTTTCCCATTTTTCTTTCTATATTGAAATTTTCCCTCGGCGCGCCTCTTCTGCCACGTTTTTTGACGGGGGCGCATATAAATTAGTAGGGCAGCGCAAATGTACATATCCTGAGTGAGGAGAGTGAAGTGAAAATAAGTCACCTCTGAAGGCGCGCGCTGAGATGGAAATTGGCTTTGGAAGTTCTTCCCGCATGAAAAGAAAAATATCCATCGCAGCTTCTCTTCCAGGGAAAACACACCCTCACTCCCTCTCTCGCGTCCCTCTCTCAAGTAGGTTACTCTCAAAAGCCACTCCACACACACACACACACGGAGTTTTCCCACAGTTGTGCAGAAACTCACCCCCTCGGAATCCAATATGCCCAAGATAGAAGATTTTATACTTTTCTCAATTCAATAAGACTATTTTATTGGCACAACTTAGGGAAAAACTTAGTTATATAGACATGTACGTTTGTGTGTAAATTCAAATACGCCACCGCCACATATTTCTGGCGCACACGAGAAAAGAAAAGGAAGCGCCGAGGAAATGGATAGAAGTGTGCCAATGGAGTGGGAAAACCACTTGGTAAAACCTCATTTTATTCCACACTTGGAACACTTTTATTTCCCTTTATTTTGTCATTTTGTACATATGCACAGGAGAGAAGGCAAATACTTCACTCCTCTTCGTCTCCGGAGGACGTCCACCCCTTGAAAACCACCCCCACACACTTTGGGGTTTGCACAAAAGGCCAATCGGCTTTAAACAATTTGTACCGGGAATTTAAGGATTTTCCACCATTCCATGTGATTTTTCAAGGGTGGCAGCAAAGAAATGTCATGTGAATGGACGAAAGCTCACCGCAAACTTCCATGGGATTTTAATCTGTTCAGGAGAGAGCTTTCTGCAATAGAGCTTCCGGAATGTCATCAAAGATTAAAGAGATTTATTTTGAAGAGTTGGACAAATCGGTTGCAAATTGTTCCAGCGCGTATTTGATTTTGGGGAAATAAACATTACCGCAAGGGAGAGATAATATGCCCCAAAAAACTGTACAACACTTCAGAACACTTCCAAATTTGCCTGACACTTCTAAAACTTGAAGTTTTCAAACTATTTCCGCGTCAATGTTGAGTTTCCATGCGATATTTGTGCAAGAATCCACTTAAAAACACTTCTTTGAACATCTTTTCACACCATAACCTCAAAAAAATATTACTTAAAGATCTGTGAAGCTTTTCAGATTGCAAAATAATCTGTTTTGATTTGCAAATGAACTCAAAAATTACGAATTCAAAGCCAGAATCGTCCAGGGAGGTTTCTAAACCAACATTTTTCAAGTCTAAATGATTACTTTTGAGGTTATGATCGACTTTAGCACATTTTGTGTGTGTTTCTGGACACCAAAAATGCAGAATAACAATGTTTATCGCATAAACGCAAAATTCTTAATTTAACGAATTATTGGCAATCTTGGGGACTTGAGAATAAGAATTAATTTGCTAGATTGCGAGCTATTTCCGTCAAATCTGTTCTTGGTTCGTTACATAACCTATAAAAGCTTTTTTTCTGATTGTTTCCAGCTTACAAGTTGAAGGAAATCCAAAAACTATTGCTTAAGTTTAAGCATATTGTAAGCTTATGAACATGAATACTTCTTAAGTACTTCTGCTTAGCTGTACACCACTTCTGGCTGTATTATCTCTCTCTTGAAGTTTGCATTTTCGCATCCACTCACGGGAAATTGTCTGGACAGAATCTCGGTGGTGAATTTGGCGTACGTGCGCACGCCATTAAAATGAGATCAGGAGAAATTAGTCTCACTTGTCAGATGTGCTCCAAATGGGTGGTGATGATAACAGAGGTTGATGAGCATTGAGGGGATGAATTGAATTTTATGGAATGCAAAATTCAATTTTGTGCCCAAAAATTTCATTTCATTCGTTATTGGTTTCGGTGAGGAATTTCAAATAGGCGCAAAACTTTTGCCACCCTCTCTATGGGGGGGTTGGGGGATGAACAAACATCCCGCATGTGGGCGAAAAACACGCATTGCGTGGATTCTGTCATTTTGGACTGCCGGCTTTCTGTGCGTTCGCCGCACAAAAAGAGCTTTTGAGACAGTGAGGATGAAAAAGAAAAAAAAAAACACATCCATTCTGTCCGTCACAAACATTTGATGGCACATCTGCCACGTTCGATGACACACAACATATTCAAGTGAACGGAAAAGAGGTGGAATGAAGTTGACAGAACACATCTTCCTGTGCTTGCTCCCTGTTTATAATACAACACACATCAGTGGCATTGAGCACTGATTGTCATCGGAACAAACCACTCCGGCTCTAATTTCCTCCTCCGAGTGCTGGTTAATGTCACGCTGCAAGATCACTCCGGGGGACTTTCATTGGGCGTCTCTGGGATTTGATGGTTTGATGGGTGAAATTCAAATAATGCCCCAGGAGAGAGTCTGAATTGCGGTGTGTTTGTGCGAGTGTGAAAAAGCTCTCCCACCCTTTCATCATGTCACCGCCGAAGCACAGCTTGAGAAATTACAACGCGAAAATTCACGCGGAAAGGGTTGTGAGAAATTGACGCAAAGAAACGTAAAGAATGATTTTGTATGTTTGCCATTCAATTTGGAGTTTCTTCTGGATTTTTGATTTATTAAATTTGACAAGGAATTGAAAGTAAACATTTCATATAAAGCACATTTGCTTTGAAAGCTCAACGTACATTCAAAGGAGAGATAATACAACTCAAATCTGTACACCACACGCTTCTTAAACACTTGCATTACAGAATTTACTTAAAATAATGATTTTAGAAGAAATCCTAGGAAAATCATAAGAATTTCAACGGCGATTCCCATTCAAACTTGAGAATGTTAAAATTTCAAATGAATAAGAATACCTTTTGATATTCTCGTTAAAATAACTTGCAGTTTTGATCTGTTTTTTGACTCAGCTTTTAACACATTTAAAACAACGTCTGCAGGTCGTTTTATAACAACACATTCAGGAAGTACCAATTGGCTTAGCACGTGTTAATCAAATGTGCAAATAACACAATATGGTGAGTTTGAAACCGAGTGTGGTGAATTTTAAACACAAAATGGTGAATTTTTAACACACGTGGTGAATTTCTTAACACACATGGGGAATTTTTAATCCAAACACAATTTTAAAGCTTACATAGATTACTCAGAATATCAAATACTGTGTTAAACTAATATAACACACTTTTAACACTCCTCGTTTGACTGGAAATCGCTCCATTAAGTTCAAAAGTGGATTCAAAAACGTGGTTTAGCAACTTTCTGAGTGATAAAATGTGTGATTTTGAGTCATCGTCAGCTGTACACCACTGCAAGCCGTAATATGTCACCCCTGCTATTTTTCCCCGTAGCTCGGAAAACCCCAAGTCATATGCGGAAATGGCTGTGCAGGCATTTCGCAGCGAACGTGCACTGCATTCCCTTGGCCAGGCAATTGATGTTCACTTACCGTGATCATTATCGATGTTATCCTTGCAATTCATTTCCAGGGGGATTGAGCAATCTGTGCCGGCCCATCCTTCTATGCAGACACACCGGTATTCACCGTCCTCGAGTGTGCACTGTCCATGTCTGGAGCATCCATTCTCGCATCCAGCTGCAGCACATGCCATGCAAAAAGAACACATTTATTTATGTTGCGCCCTTCTTGATCAATTACATGGGAATTGTCGATGCGACACCCAATTGGAAAACTGTATATTGAGGAGCAAATTTAGCACTGCGATGGGATTTTCCAGCAATTCGCCTCTGATTTATTACCCTGTCCACATTCTCCGGCGCATCCTTCAGTCAAATGCACTGCAATTTTGCCCTGATTCATCATTAACAATCAACTGACCCCCGCACTTCCCTATTATGTGGAATAAAAGCACGCGCTGACTTCATATTCTCTCTCAGAGAAATGCTGTGATTCAATGAAAACACATTTTTCTCCAAAGGGGAAAATCACTCGCGATTTCTGACGATTTCGGTTATTTCATACCAATTTCAATCATTTCTTGATTATGCCAAAAATATTTGATCATTTTCTCCATATATGGCCGCCAGAGGGCAGCAGTAGAGACTCTAAAAGCGTGCTTAAATTCCGATTGTACTTTCCAAAAGGCAAAGAAGTCATAAAGTGTGAAAATTCGTAAGAATGAGAAAATTATGCGATATTATTAGCGTCCCCCACGCCAATTTTGCTGCCCTCTGGCGGCGATATGTGGAAATTATTCAATTTTTAATTGATTTACTTCGATATTTTGGCGAAAATATTAATTTTTAGATTATTTAGCAATTTTTATCGGAAAATAATGATGTTTTTGATTATTTTCATTCAGTAATAAATTAGTAAATTACTCAAAAATCGATTAGTGACTTTCCCCTTGTTTTTCTCCCTCACTTCAGTCGCTCTGAATTGTGCTCCATCCACAATGTCTCCGCAATGTTTGATTTCATGTATAAAATTGTACATTTATGTGGCTTTTTGCTGTGCTTCGTGTGGGTATTTTTCTTTGTCCGTCTTCTTTTGCAAATGAAAACAAAAACAAATGGCGAAGCACAGGAAAAAGATCAAGAGAGAAAGCAAGGCAAAAAAGTATATATATTGAGCTCTCTGTGTGTGTGTGAATGTTTGGAATGGGAGATGAAGGCGGAAAACTTCCACTCTTCTCCACTTGGCATTTTTGTATAACTTTTCGAAGAGTCACAAGCATATTGAATTTTTATGAACATTCCACACAAATCGCCAGTGTTATTCTAAGTGTCAACTGCGGGTGTTTTTCAGAGAGACGACATGGCCTCAGCAATTTTCCTCCCATTCGTCGTGTGTGTGTGTGTGTAGTTTTTCCTTCTGTGCCACGTCTTGTTTTTCCGTAAACATTCAGCTTGTTTTAGCCACCCCCACACCATCATTTTGGGGGGTGGCAAAACAACCAGAGAAAGAGAAACATTGTATGGACATGGAGTGCATATTTTCCAATGTGAATTTCGACTGTCTCTGCCGAAAGAAATTGCTGCACACTTTTTCTGTGCCAACATAAATACTCTGGCGCATATCATATGTTATGTATGAACATCAGAAGAATTGTGACACATTTGCGTCGCTATACAGCTTTTAATTTGATTATTTGCAGAAATTTGTACACCTCACACAAAGTGCAGAAGAGACACTCTCTCAAAGTCCAATTAGAAAGTCTTTCTCTCTCTCTCTGTCTCAACCCCTTAGATTGTCTCCTTCGCTGCCGCCCCCGTGAAATGCCAGAGAATTCTCATTGAGAATAAATCACTCGAGGATACTTTGTAATTAGAACTGAGACTTGAGTCTGAAACGCTGGAGAAAAATAAACTCTTAAATTCTCAAGTTAAATTGTTGGGAATCTTCATGAATCATGGCTGAGAAGTTGTGTGTCTGCATTTCGCCCACTTTTCCCCCCTTTTCCTGCATCAGCAGCAATGATGTGTGTGCTTCTGGTACAAGTGATTGTATGAGTAATTGAAATGGGAGAGGATCGCTTTTTTGCCGCTTTTCCCTCTCTTTCTCTCTCCTTCCGCCCCGGAATTTCCATTGTGTGGAAGCTCCCAAAGTTTAAATTGATTTACAATTTGTTTTTCATTTCAATTAATCGAGGATCAGGAACAAATTGCCAGTAGAAATTTGTTTGTGCTGCGACATTTTCACGTGAATTCGCAAATTAACTTTACACTCCAAAATACGGAATGAGGAAAGTCTCAATGTCCTCTCAACTTTGCCACCCCGTTTTTCTCCCTGTCTCTGTGTTTGTGTGTGTTCTTCTTGGGGTGTCTAAGACAAGGGGTTGCTAATATTGGGAATGCAGAGTCACCTGTGCATTTATTTCGTGTAATTTTCTTTTCATTCGTATTCGTCGTAGAGCAATTTTGTGGTTGTTCTCGAGAAAAAAAAGATTTTTTATCTTGTTATCTCTTCAAAATTCATTTATAAAATAATTCTACATAATTTTTAAAGAGTTAAAAGTGAATTTATCAACCGAAAAGCTTCCAAACACCAATGAATAAACAACATTACTTTAATATTTGATTTTTAATCGGATATTTACGGTTTTACGCAAGGTTTTACAATAAAAAACAAGTGCGAAACTGGAAAAACCTTAAATTTTTGCACGTTATAGAGAATCTTTTTAAATGCTGACGAAAATCTCTAGTCAAAAGTACAGAAAAACCGTAAAATGTCCTTTCATCTTTTAGTATTCTTCTTAAACTTAACCTTAAAATTCATTTTTCGCAGAAAATCTTCTAATTTCGGTATGTAAAAACAGATTTCCGTTTTTTTCTAAAGTATTTTCAGACAATCACGTTCTTATAGAGTCTATAAATGAACTCCAAAGTGGTTGAAGTAATTTTCTCAACGCTCTAAAATCTATCTTTAGACCGAAAACTTTTCCCGGCGAAACAATTTGACGACTAAAATATAATTTTTCTCCTTCATTTTCCACTCTTTTGCTCGAAATTTCGCACTAAATCTTAAAAAGGAGCATCCAAAATCCATATTAACATCCCCTTTGGTTTGAGGAGAATTGTGTTAGGGAAAAATAGGTAGGTGGAATAGATTGACGAATATTGGCACTTATTGGAGATTATTGGCATGTGAATGTGTCACTGCATGAATGATTTATCCAACATTTTATGCCATTTACCTTCTTCACACTTTGTCTAATTCTCCCACACACAATAATCCTATTGCAAGTGACTTTTTCTCATCTCATTTGAATATATGCGAAAATACTAGAGAAATTGCCACGTTCGGCTGAATTGCGCGCAAACTGTGGAGAAATTTGGGTCAATCAATAGAATAAAGTGTCAGTTTGTGAATTCCCAGCAATAGATTTACAAATTGCTCTGTGACAATTTCACAACAACAAAAAAAATCCTCCATCAGAGTGAGAAAATCAATGCTCAATTAAGTTATGGTGAAGTTTTCCTGAGCGATGCAGAAATAGTTAATTAAAGTTGTACTAATAGGGATACAAAAAACCACCCCAACAAATATAGTTGGATGGATGAAAAAAGCCCGTCACGGTTCTCAACCCATCGCATTTTCTATGTACATAAATTCACTTCCACGACAGCTTAATGTACAAATATGTATGTGGCCGCGACTCTTAATGACCTCGTGGCCTTATTGTCCTCTTTTCAACTGCTTTACACTTTTGTGCAGTGATAAAATCTCACACCGGCGCCCAATTTGCGTGTCGCACACACGCCGACCTCCCGCGGGGTCACTTCAAGCAAAGGGGAGATAATGTGCCCCAAAATCTGTACACCACTTCCAAACACTTCTAAATTTGCCTAACACTTCCAGAACACCAAATTTGTAGTCTGTTTGCGCATTATTTCCCAAATTATATCAAATCTCTTAAGTTTTCATCCGATATTTCTGCAAGAATCAACTTTTAAGCGCACATTTTCCGACCATAACCTCAAAATATAGCTAAGAGATCTTCAGAAACTCCGTTCGAAAGCTTTCTAGATTTGCCAATGAACTCAAAATTGCTGATTCAGAGTAAAAAATTGCCCGAAAAGTTTTCCTAATAGATATTTTCTAAATTGAAATGACTGTTTTTGAGGTTATGTTCAATCTTAGCACAATTTTCAGGGATTCTTGGCATCAAAGGATCAAAAAATCACGGTTAATTGCTTGCAAATGCTTAAATCTACTATAATTATTAGCAATTGATGTGCTATAATACGAATTATTCACAAAATCTGTTCTTGATTTGTTTCATAACCTAGAAAAAAAGATTTTAAAATTGATTCTGCGTGAAATCGAAGGAAATCTAAAGATTTTGCATAATTAATGAATAAAATAAGCACTCAGAAAAGAGAATATTGTAAGCTTTTGAACACTTTCACTTCTTAAGTACTTCTGCTTAGCTGTACACCACCTGTGATTATATTATCTCTCCCTTGGCTTCATGATCGCCCCCGCGAGTCCCCGAAAGTGCCCTTTTCCACGCGTAATTATGCAGTGTGAGAATTCCCTCGCATTGAGGCAGGTTCCAGAGTCTGATTATTTAATTAACCCCCTTTTCTCCCCACTCACGCTGTCCCAGAGGGATTAGAATTGCTCATGCGGAATTCTCGCAATCGAATTAACCTCTCCAATTCTGATCTGTGTCCATCGCAGCGCTTAAGCTCCCCCAAATCCCACCCTACACATTGTCCAGGTACTCACGCAAGGTGCAGTGGCGACCGTTCCATCCTTGTGAGCAGACACAAGTGCCATTCTTGCACTGGCCGTGCTCAGCACATCGTGAATCGCATGGCAATTGATCGCACAGATTTCCCGTCCAGCCAGAGTTGCAGCGACACTTTCCAGACTCACACACACCATTCGGGCCGCAGTCCAAGCTGCAAACGGCTGCAAAGAGAGGGTGGAAAAATAGGGGTGATTTTGAGGAGTTGAATCGGCAAAATCCTATGTGAATGAATTGTCAATATCTTCCAAAGTTTTCATCCGATTACTAAAAGTGGCATCGATTTTGAAAGCTGATTTTATGGCCTACAACTGTCTAGAACACACCAAAGTCAACAAATAGACACAAAATGGTGTTAATGAATGTTTTGTAAAATGTATGTATTTTTTTTCCTCATATTACACTACAAAGCTTAAAACATCTTCAGCGTCTTTGAATTCTTGATTATATGTGTCTATTTTTCTTAGGCAGCTTCAAACACACCTCAAGCCTGGAAGGGTGGCATTTAGAGGGTTGAAAAGCTTCTGAGGGAAAATTCATTTGCCATAAAATACACCCATAAACGACTGGAGCGGCGTGAAAAGATGAAATTATTTATTAAATATCAAAAAACATCCCTCGCACCGTCATCTGAACCTACCCTGAGATTGAGTGTATATCCCAATTTACCCTCCATCAGTGGAGCATTACTGTCCATGCGATGCGTGGGTGGAAAGAGAGATTTTCCTTCGGCCCCATAATATGCATGTTTATCTTCCTACCGTAAAAAGTTTCGCCAGGCGCGCGGGGAGGTAAGAAAAGGTAAATAAATTTTGCCAAGAGGTGTTCCTCTCCCATCAACATCAACTTTCGCTTTTTACATAGTGGTTTGGTGTTGAAAATTTAACTTGATTTGCGCGTCAGGGAATTTATTTGTTCCCTTGTTTCTCAGGACTCGAGATGGGCGGAAATTAAATGGGGTGCTATAAATAGATGCTTAGCGAACACCTCTTGCCATCAGAAAAGGTGAAACCACACGTGAGGTTATTGATTTATATTTTGGTGATACATATATTTATATATTAGAAATAAATAGCGTCAGAGTCCTGAAAGTCTGCTTGTGAAAATGTGCACAATTGCAGACTCTTCCGCTTTATCAATGCGCTGCAATCTTAATTAAAATTGCTCGCCACACAGTGGCTTTGTATGTAATTAGTCGCAAAATGGCTGGCAAAAGGGAGGAAAAAAAACACATTCGGGGGTTGTTAAGTATTGCCAAACAAAATCAATCACGCGTGCGAGACCAAATGACAATTCGGTGATTGATATCGGGTTGTGTGTGCGCCGAAAAGACGGAAATTAATCATCAGCGGACGGCGAGAGTGAAAAAAGCGCGGCTGTGAATTAATAATGTCGCCGTGACGATGCTTAAAACTACGGCGCCCAAAGGGGTTGCTAATGTCCGAGATGCAGTTTTAATTATTTACAAAAATTAAATTAAATTCATGTGGAAAAACATACGAATTTATTGCAATTATTCCAGGAATAACTGAATTTCTGTCTTCATTTTCTTAGCTTTGTCTTTGGTAAATGTCTTTGGGAAACTTCTGAATGAAATTGTGAGGTTATGAATCCGATTTAACACAAGAATCCTTTTTGATATAATTTCTAATCCTTTCAAACGTGGAAGTTTGTCAATATTTGAGGCTTTATTTGCTACTTTAAAGCACAAAGTGCGGAAAAACCCAAGCAAATCGACATTCTTCAAGACTAAAATGATATTTTTAACGTTATGATTGGACTTTTAAGTTGATTTTAAGTTTTTTCCAACACAAATTCTCAATTTTGTGCCAAGAAAAAGAAAAATTCAGAACTTAAACACAGATTAAATGATTTTGAGGCTTTCTTAACCATCAGAATCAGCTTTAAATCAATCACATAGCCTAGAAATGTAATAAAATTATATTTTTCTACGCCAAATAATTGAGAAAATGCCTAAATTTCCTTTCATGGCTTGCGTAAGTGTTTTTCCCGATCTATTCTTCACTAAATAAGATTTATTCGGGAAAACCGAGGAATAACAAAAATAAATGGAATCAAAAGCCACAGATTGGCAACCCCTTGGCGGCGAGGCTCATTAGGGGATGGGCGGACTTACCTTGGGAGCAGTCGGGTCCGGTCCAGTGTCTGTCGCAGACACACGTGCCCGTCTCCAGGTCATACGTGCCGTGCTCGGAGCAGCCGGGCAGGCACTGATAGACCTGCTGGTCCACCATGCCGCAGTCGTCGCCCTGCCAGCCGGCCTTGCAGTAGCACTGGCCGCTCACGCACGTTCCGTGGCCAGAGCACGAGGGATCAAGGCAGTCAGCTGTCGTGCAATTAGAATAGTTGTGATCACATTAGTCCAGGGGTTATTTCACTTCATCCCCCGGCCGAGGAGGGCAAACAATTCGCAAGCTCGCTGAAATATTTGCAATTCCACCCCCGTCGACCGCTTTTATTTATTCACTCCAAGCAGAGGTAATATTTCACACAAAAGTTCACTCTCTCTAAACGTTGCATTCTGTTGTGCGAATGCGTATGTGTTTTGCTGTGGGAATGCTGAGATATTAAATGTTGATGACTTCATTTTCAGCTCTTCAAAGGCTCTGACTTTTGCTTGTATTCTTCCACAGCATCCCAGGGTTTTTGAATAAATAACAATATGTAGTGATGAAATGAATTTTTGAAACCACCCCCAAAACACACACACACACACATAGAGAAGAGTTTTGCATAACCAATCGATTTCCATTGTCACTTCTCTTGAAGGCACTTTTCTTCCTTCACAATCCTGGATGTGGAATTGCAATTATTTCCCAGCAAAACACGGAGAAAATGCAGAGTTAAAAGTAGTCGAAATTCTGTTTAGTCACAAGTTGAGGGCTTGCAAATATCCCAAACACACTGGGCAGAAAAATCGGGGGGTTGTGAAATGGGATAATTAAATTTACTCACGTTGCTCGCAGAATTGTCCTCTCCAGCCACGTTCGCAGTGACAATCGCCCTCGATGCAGCGTCCATGGCCGGAGCATCCGGGCACTTGACACTCACCCGCTGGCACATCGCATTCCGGGCCCTTCCAGCCCTCCTCGCAGTGGCACACCCCGCCGCCATAGTGGCCGTGAGCCGAGCACAGCACCGGACAGACACCTAAATCAAATGGAGAATGGCACTAATGTGAAGACGCCCGTCTTGCAGCGCTGCTCCCATACAGAATAGGCTCGGCGCGAGGGAAGCCACTGCGCTCAGAGTCTGTACACCGCATTCCCAGACAGCTTCTTACGTCTAAACTTACCGTATTGACTTGATTTTGGCCAATAATTAGACCAATTTGGCCTTCTTTTCATCCGAATGAGATCAATTTGGTTAGAAATGTTGTGGGAACTTGAAAAATCTAAGTATTTTTGAGGTTATGTTTAAACGTTCGCCATTAAAAACTATCGCAATCGTGATCTGATTGAGTATATTGTCAGATTCTATTAGTAAGAGATAATTTATGTCACTCTATGTGCAAGAAATGCGATTAATTAACTACAAAATCTGTTTTAAGTTAGTAACATAACCTATAAATGCATTTCATGACTTAATTTTGGGTAATATTAGAAAAATTTGGCCTTCTTTTCGGCAGAATGAGATCAATTTGGTTAGAAACAGTTGGGAAAGTCAAAATATCCTAATATTTTTGAGGTTATGTTGAAAAAATGTCGGAATTTGTCGCTCTTTCGCTATGAAAAACTATCGCAATCGTGATCTAATTGAGTGTATTGTCAAATTCTGTCAATAAGTGAAATTATTCTCAGTTTTTGTGCAATAATTGAGGTTAATTTTATAGTTTATTTTAAGCTATTGTAACATAACCTATAAATCCAAGATGGTGGCCTTAGAAACAGACAAAGATACATCTTTTCCAAGTGAATTACAAAGGGATATCGTTGATATTGAAACACTTCCACTTCCCAATACCTTCGCTGATCTGTACACCTCTTCTCACCCCAATTTCTCCCCCTTGTCAGGGCGCTTTTGGGCGGAAGGAGGCCTTTTGTGAACGCGCGCCACACTTTGTGCAGGAAGGCGAAGAGCGAAGGCCTCCCAAGGCGGGAAAAAAGCGTAGTCACTGGGCGGAGGGCGCGGGGAGAGAAATCGATAATAAGGAGCTCTGGACGAGAGCAGATAAGTGGACTGATGTGTCATGGTGGCGTACATATGTAGTATGTGTTGGGAGATAAATAGGAGAGGCACCCAAGTGACAAGGAAGTTGGCAACGAGGGTGGAAAGACACCAAAGAGCTCCACAGCCATTTGACGAAATCGATTTCGGGACGATGCAAAAAGGGGTTCCGAGAGACACTCTGAATATGGTCAGGAGACCAAAAACAGGCGCGCACACAGATGGAGTGACCCGAACTTTCGTGCAAACTAGAAATTTGTTTTGGGAAACTTGAGTAATTTTCCCTTTGGGAAAACTTTCAGGTTTTGATCTCTGATCCTAAATCAATGACATGCAAAGCTATACATGGATTCCTTAAGGGATTGGAATTGTCCTTTTAGCGTCAATCTATGCTAATTCCAACTCTGCACCCTTCCCTCAACCCCCCCTTTTGGGGGGGTGAGTGTGATTCTTTGTGAACATTCACGCTGTGTTTATGGGGATGATTTGAAAGTGTTTCAATTTACTCAGATATTCCCTGTGTGAGTTGGAAATTTTTCATCCCCAGAATGTGTATCATAAGCGTCTCTCCCCAATCTTTCGCAAATTTATTCTCTATCTGCATTGAAAATGATGCATTTCCCTCGCGCCACGACTTTGTGTGAAGCTCTCAAAGAGTGAAATGGGGTGAAATTTCACGCTTCGCATAATCCCCTGATTTATCCCGGGCTTCAAATGTTGGAAAATCAAGCTTAAAGCTCCAAAGATTGCGACTGGGTTACTCACTTTTGGAGCAGTCTGCGCCTTGGTAGCCGTCGATGCAGTCGCACTTGCCCAGATAGCAGGATCCTCTGCCGGAACAGTCGTTCGGACACGTCGTGCTCACGCCTTCCGCCTCGGCGACGGTCAGCGTGACGCTGTGCGCCAGCAATTCGTCGTTGTAGACGGAGAGGAACCAGCGTCCGGTGTCCAGATACTGCAGCAGACTCACGTTCACCATCATGGGATCCATGTCCGCGGAGCGCTTCGAGATGATGTGGCGCTCCGCCGGCGACAGGCGCAGGTGTTCGTCGATGAAGGAGGACGAGGCGGCCTCGGCGGCGCTGGATCTGTCGTGATACTCATCGCCGTCCACGGGGGGATTCTCGAAGATGTCAAAGTCATACTCCTCGTCCACGCCATTCGCCAGGATGTCCTCCTCGTCCTCGCCGGCCATGCTGCGTTTCCTGCGACGCCGGCGCCGCAGGCGATTATCCACGCGGCCGCCGCGGATGAACTCCACGAAGTCGTACTGCGTGACGCTGGGCGCCACGTTGCGACGCCCGTACACCGCGAAGTTCGCGCCCCAGGGCAGCGTGAAGTTGAACCGGATGAAGGCGGGATGCTTGTTGCGGAACTCCGAATTCCAGAATTGGTACGGCTGAATCGTGGCGTGGTGAAGCTCATTGAACTCGCGCAGCTCCAGGACCTGCGGCCACTTCTGGTGCTGCTGCTGCTGCTGCGCCGAGAACTGCTGATCCTGGTAGTGCTGCTGCTGGAGTTGCTGCTGCAGGATTTGCTGCTGCGAGAAGCCACTGTTCAGATAGTGATGCGCCGTGGTGAATGTGCTGTGGTCTGCTGTGCTCGTGAGCAGAGACTCTTCCGTGGGCAATTGGGTGGATCCGTCGGCATTCTGGGTCATTTGATCGTGTGTCACCTGTTTCACGTCCTGCACCACGATGCAGTTGTTGGGATCCATCGTGGGCTTCATCGAATTGACCGCTGCAAAAGAGAAAAACACAAAAGTCCAGATATGCTGATCGCCTGTGCACTTTGCGCAACACACAAGTCGCAGTCCAATGACACTTTCCGCAACGCTGCAAATCCTCAAGTCGCAGTGAAAATCAAAACTCTGAGAAGTCAATTGAATTGCATCAATTCGAATCCAACAGTCAAAATCGTGCACGCTGGGATTCGTTGCCTTTGCCCATGAGAGTCAGCGACAATTGACTGATTGATTGCGACTCATTGAGTGATTTGCATGGCGCAACTCCATCAATATTCCCGTCCGGACGCCCCAAACATGCCCACCCGCTGCACTGCCAGATAAACACAGGAGAAATAACGCAGACACCGCCGGATATTGCAGACTTAGGCGCCATGACAGTCTGCAGTTGCAGCATTTATCCAATTCACATCGGCAAGCTCAATGAGACTCGCAGTGTTGGATTATGTCGTTGTTTGCTCAAATCACCGACAAATCGATACTCTCTAAATATTTTCCAATTAATCCACCACACACAATTGCCAACGCTTGTGGAAAATCACCCTCACTTCGGCCATTTTTACCGTTCGCAAAAACATCACCTCAGAATTCGAAGAAACTTTCAAGTGAGACGGAGAGGATTAAAGTGTGATTTTGGCTAAGTACAGGGAAATTTATTTCCAATTTCATTTGAATAAATACACGAGCATTGTTTAGAAAATCAAAAACTTTTCCCCAAAGCTTGGCAATCGAGGGGATTTTCTGTCTGGAAATTTTGAGGCACTTTTTTGGGGGTGAGGATAATTAAGGTCTCGTTAATTGCCACAAAAGTGGTTGTTTTGCGAGCAATTGAAGAAAACAACAAAGATCACATGAGCTTACAAGTCATACAGCGCCATCTAGAGTGTAGAGATTTTAAATAGCGCCACCCGCGACTCTGAGACATATTGATGTGCTGTGAATTTCCACGTGAAGCCAGAGGTTTGAAATTTTCCACCAATCTTCCCTTATTAATGAGTAATGACCATGCCAAGTTTAAAGACATTCGGACTAATCCTTAATCCCTTTATGATATCAAAACTGAACCAAGGCAGAAAATAACCCGAGATTTTAAATAGCGTCGTTGCAGAAATCTTTGATTATTTGTCCGGTACATTTGTTTCGGGTTCTTAAAGTGGTTCAAATTAATCCGAGGTGTCTTCAGGATAATTATCCTGTCGATTTTCAACTTTTATTTGGATTTTTTACGTGTTTGATATCAAAATTTGATCAAATGAATATCAAATTATGGGTCAAGAACAATACGCGACTTCAGAAGATCTTACGGAGATTTTTCAGCTGCACAAGAAAGGACATTTAATCAGGGAAGATATCCAGAAGGACCTCTTATTCCAGAAAGAGAGTTAAGAGCGCAATTGACAGTGTAAAAAGGTCGATTTCGCTGAATTTTGAGGGTAGTTTTAGGCGAATTCCGTGAAGGATTGTTTCCTAAGGTTCTTTCAATCCTTTTTAATACCACGAGGAACAGTTTTCATGAGTCTAGGACTAAAATGTAGCGTCAAGTCATTTTTCCACATCCATTTTTTCCATGTTTGCTCTCACAAACTCATAATATTCCACTTATTTTCGCACAAATGCGATTTTTGATTGCATTTGAATACATCCCAGGTCATCGCTAAGTCACATCACGTGCCACGCTCTGACTACACTTTGAATAGTTTTCCCTTTTTTTGGGGAGGAAAGCCAGCGGCGGGAAGAGTCTGTGCGCAACTCGGATTTTCCTGTCTTCTCATCCCCAAAGAATCTCAGCTCAGCATTTCCATTTTATCCCCCTCTGTTTTAGCATCTTCCTGGCAATTTGTTTACTTTTTCATGCTGCCGAGTTAATAACATTCAATAATTTAGTCAAATGTGCCTCTGTGCGGTGTCATTGAGGTGAGAGTCTTCCTGTCGTGGTGATAAAAACGAACTATCGCCCAGGATTTCGCTTCCAGAGCGCCAAGAAAAGCAGGGCGGAACTCCTGCAGGATGTGGTGCTAATGCTCGACAATTAGACAAAGTGTACAAAGTGGGGTTCGCCTCAGAACTGCGGGGATCAATTCTGTTCTGAGGGAAAATCCACCTCAGCGATGGCGAAAATTAAACGGACAGAGAGTGACAAAAGTGCAGCTGAGGAGGAAAGTCTTGATGAAGAAAGTTTCTTTGGCAAAACTCCTCTTTTGATGATTTTTTCTTCGTCTCTCCATCGCCACGGTGAAGTTCAGCAGGGTGGCCAAGGGGTGGGGCGTCTAACGACTGTGTGTTGCTCAAACTTGAAATAATTATTAGGGCGCATACCTGCAAAATAGGCCAACATAGCTATAAGTGCCACCGACAGGAGTATTAAGGCAATGCTGAAACATTTCCATGAGCACCTATGTTGACATCGTTTGTCTATGTGAAACCTGCAATGAGAAGAGTGAAACTCTTTAATTTCATGGGGGAGGATTTTCCTGCAGGGGCAAAAAGGGTGGTATTTTTCCTCCCTGAAAATGTGTGTGTGTGTGTAATTTTATAGCAAGCCAAAGCCATAGAGCAATTAATTGTGCCTTAATGATGATTTCGAGCTAACGTTGCTGATGATTCGACCATTTCGGATCTCCAGCCATCCCTCTGGCCCATTTAACACTGGCGGGGGTTGAAAGAGCGGGTGGGATCAAGGTATCCAAGAGAGCCAAAGGTATAATACAATTTGGCTCAATCAAACAACAATAGCGAAACACTTTAGTGTGTAATGTATATCGTTACACATAAACTTGTTTAATTGTTCACGAAAATTAAATTGTATAATATCGATTTACCCGGAGACACACAGAGAGACTTTGCTAAGGGTTTTCTGGGGCGGACAATGGAAATATAACGTTAAAACGCATTTCCGCGCAATAAAAGCAAAATAATAATCATGACATTTGCTGAGAGAGAGAGGAAGAAAAACCCTTAAGGTTATTAACAGTGGAATGGCAAAGGTGACAAAGAAGAAGCCATAATTTTTCACTTTTTTTGCAGGGAAAATTAAATTTGCACTGTGAAGTAATAAATTAACAACCCCAGATGAATAAACTTCCTGGAAAACCTCCTCAAAGCAAATTTGATGATCGGGTTTTTTGTCTGTCTTCAGCGTCTTTAAAGATTCTTTAATAGAATAAAAGCATTTCCAGGAAAATTACTCAATTTGCCTTATTAAATCTTGTGGTGTTGTTGTGATAAATTGAAGTACATATCATGAAATCCATTAGTATTTCCCATTAAATTTCCAGTTTCTCCCTGCATAAATTTGAGTGTATTTATTTTATATTTCAGCGCGTATTTATGCAGCGTCTATGTTGGTCTGTTTATGGTTAGAGAGTGAGAGAGAGAGGTAATATTTATTCAACAATTATTTTACCATTATGCGCGCCTCTAAACTCAATTTCAATTCATAATTGATTGTGTTTGAAGACAAATATCTAATAATATTAATGGAAGTCAGTCTATTATGTGTTTGCTTTTTGGGAGAGGAGCGCTTTGGGATCCAAACACCGAATCCGTGTAAATAGAGTGTGTCTGAAAGCGCGCGACTCCGGATGTGGCCAAAAACACGGCCTTTAAGTAACAATAATCACAGCAAGAATAAAAGCTCAAATCCGTGGTGCGCACAAAAGAAATCCGACAAGCAATTTAACAGCCGAAATAGACTTTAATAGTGTTTATTTGGGGAGTTCTCCACACATATATACAACACAGTATTTTCTGGATTATTTATACCACTTTCCATCGCTTATTTTGGCTGTGCTGTAAACGCACAGAGTCAAATTTATCAATCAGACAGAGCCACTTGAGCCTCTACGTTGGGCATTGTTGCCGAAAAAAGGTCTATCAACCTCTTCGGCCAATGCATAAAATATGCATGGGCGCGTGCGGGGGTGTTATTAATGATGGATTTTACCTTGAGGGCGAGTAGGGTGAGTAGTGCGGCGCATGTCCTGAATGGGATGTTCGCAGGGGAAAGACTGGCATCACGAGGGGCGACGTTCCGCCCAATTGACAATGGGATCCCTGTGCATTGTTGGCGTTCGTCATACCCTGTGACATCTGCTGCTGTCCCGACTGCAGTGGAGCAGCGAGCCTGGAATGGCGAAGGAAGAAACACACATTAATCACATGAACTCTCTCTCTCTCTGCCTCCCTTTTTGTTCCTTTGGTCCTGAGAGGAGTTAGAGATTTCGCACATTATTCTAATTGTTAGGCACAAAACACCAACAGAATTTGCATTGCTTTTTGCTCAGTTAAAACAATTAGTTTGCTCAGTAAATACAGTATTTCCAAATGGAAAATTGACTATTTTCAATGGTGTCCTAAGCTAATTCTTGCCACTGGAATTCAACGGGTGAAACGAAAACTGCGAAAAGTCGATTTTTCATCGTTTTTCGCTGCACAATTTTCTAAGAAAAATAATTCTAGAACTTTAGAACATTGAATTGAAATTAAATATTTGAAAAGAATTCATGACAAGTCTGAAAAGTTGGTTTTTTTTAGAACTTTTTAGGATAAAATGTATTCAAAGACTGTTAAAAAAAAACGTTTTTGGAGAGAAATATTGTTTGTTTTTTGAGTTTTTCAATAAAACTTTCAATAAATACCAATAAAATCAACTAGAATATTCACAAAATAATTTTTTCAGGGCAATATTAGCGCTTTAACGGACGATTTGAAGATGTATTGAGGTTTAATTCAATTGGTCTGTTTTCGATTTGGTTTTCGAAGAATTAATTTTGTTACTATTTTTGCTGTTTGGTCAGTAAAATATTGACCAATTTACCATGAATGTTTAATCCTGAATGACGGTTAAATCAATCTCTATTTAGAGAGTTTGAAAGCATCTAAAAATTCAGTTAAAAACTTCCCAATTTGGCCTTTTCACCTTGGCCAGTGCATAACAAAAGCGTGTCAGTTCGTCCAAAATGCGATTAGACTTCACTTGACTCTCAGAAATTTAATGAAGATTGACAAATTTGGTGGATCGCAGCACTTTGGCTGCATTATTATTGAAGTCTGTGTGAAGTGTCGAGGAGATGAGTCGTTAACATCTTTCTCTCTCAGCCAATATGAGATAATCCTGTCTCGGGCTCATGTGCAAGTGAAATGGGGTCGTAAAAAGGGAAAATAGGAAACTTCAATCATGCTTGATAACTTATTTATTTAAGATCGTGTTGATAATGCGGGCGTTCAATCGATATGTCGGGGGTGAATTAATTGTCGACATGGGGAGTGAAACAATGGAGGGTTGGTGCAATGAAAGTTATTATTGGAGGGCTGATTTTGATCTCTCTCTCTCTCTGCCAGCACTTTAGTGAAATCCCCAGCTTTCACTGGCGAAAGGAATTTCCGCTTCTTGTGGCAAAAACTCCTTCAAGTTTATCAGCGCTTTCTCGGAGTTGATTGTGTGGAATCGCGGCGGAAGCACTCAAATTGATACAAGAGTGTTATCAAATAATTGCATTGAATTATTTGTCCTGCTCGTCTTCTTTTTTCACTCCCTCGCGCGCGCGGAACATGATAAACTTTCGCAGAGAGACACCCGAAGCCATTGCCATCCTCACCCTTGGCGCCAATAAATTTTTAAATCGATTTTCTTGTAAGGAAAAATTCTCCATCACTCTTGTCGAGTGGGGCGCCCTTTTTTGCAGCGCCACTTTCTCCCCCAACACCCGCCCAGCCTGAGAAAACAACCTCAAAATACACCAATTGCAAACTTCATCTCGAGGAAGTTTTCCCTCATCGCTCTTCGCCGCCACCCTCTGGGCGCCCATGGCTCTGGGGGTGGGGGGGTGAAAGGGGTTCGGCAGCTCAGGCGAAATGCCCCCAGCCAACACACATGGTGCACAGTGCGATGATACGGCTCTCGGTGTCTCATAAATATCCCCACGATGTATTTACTTGGCGGAAAAAATAAACAGCCTGTGACTAATTAAAGTTCCAATTTGTTTTATTAAACATTTTCAGATAAATTATGGCGATGGGGGAATGGTGACACGGGAAAAGCCACCCTCAGACCAGGTACTTTCCTCAGGGATCGTGGCAGAGCGTCTCATATTTGTTCAACAACAAGAGGAGAAGCGATAAAGTTTGACGTTGGAAAAAGGTTCACTCGCTTCTTCACTCCATGGAGATGTAAATCGGAGATTGTGTCGCTGGCGACACTTTGGGTGGCCAGAATGAAATCATATAAGATCTTATGTTGAAAAAAGAGAAGAAGAAGAGCTGTTGAGAATATCGACATTCTATATGACTTTCCAGAGAGAATACAGAAATTATGATTGCAAATGGGCTCTGATAAACGGAAAGATGTCAATTCACAAGGGGGAGATAATACAGCCAGAAATAGTGTACAGTTCAACAGAAGTACTTAAGAAGTGAAAGTGTTTGAAAACTTACAATCTTCCTTTCCAGCATGCTTATTTTCCCAGAAAATCAACTCGATTCATTGGATTTCGTTTGAATTGTACGGAGAAACCATAATTTTCTAGGTTATGTCACGAATTACGGACGGATTTAGTGAATATTTCTCATTCTATCTCATTAATTCTTATTCTAAAGTCGCCAAGATTGCTAAATATGAGCAGAATTAGGCATTTTCGAGCATTTGATGTCAAGAAACCCCGCAATTTCTATTGCAAACGAACATAACCTCAAAAAGAGTATTATGAACTTGGATAATGGATATTTACAACAATTTCTGCACGATTTTGACTCTGAATCAGCAATTTTAACATCAGAAAAGCTTCCATTAAAAGTTTTTTACTCATTATTTATCTCAATTTGTCTGTAGAAACAATAATTTTCTAGGTAATGTCACGAATCACCGCGAATCACAGACACATTTAGTCAATTTTCGCATTATAAATCATCAATTCTTATGCTAAAGTTGTCAAGATTGCTAATGATTGGCAAAATAATGTATTTTCAAGCCTAAAACATTGCTTTCCCTTATCTTTGATGCCAGAAAACACTGCAAATTTAGTTGAAGACAAACATAACCTCAAAAAGAGTATTATTGAGTTGAAAAATGTTCATTCAGACCACTTTCTGCAATGATTTTGACTCTGAATTAGCAATTTTGTATTAAAAATTTCATTTTATCACCCAGAAAGCTTCTTTTAGTGATATTTTTGAGGTTATGGTCGGAAAAGATGCTCAAAAAAGCGGTTTGAAGTGGATTTTTACATAAATATCGCAAGTGATGTACAGATTAAGAGCGTCTTATCTCCCCCTTGATAATGAGTGATGCTTTTCTATTGAAAATTCATGAAGTTTATTGAATTTTGATGGATGAATAAATTTAATGAATAATAATGCACTCTGAGGCTGAGAAAACAGCCGCTGCGACTCTCACTTCTTCAGCCACTTTGGTAAGAATCTGTGTGCAATTCTTCTTCTCCGTGTGAGCGTTGAAAATAGATAACTTTCGTCGCAACAACATTATATTTTATTAGTTATAACGCCGCGGAGGAGGAAAGTTATCAGAGAAAAAAAAAATGGAAGAAGAAACTTTCCATGGTGGAAGCGTCATGATTTTTAGTAATATCATCGTAAAACAATAAAATTTAAATTCTTGCAATTTTTGCCCGCCTCATTCTCACCATCCAGTTTCCAAACAGCCAAAGTTGGGCGTTTTATTGATCAAGAATTTATTGCTTTCTCTCTTTCTCGTCCCAGTGAAAATATCCATTCTCTTTTTTTAATGCTCTCGAAGAATCTTCTCTCGGTGACTCTGTCGATGTGGTTTTGTGGCGGGTAATAAAAGGTTGATGGATTTTTCACGATTTCAATCTCGTATGATATTTTAATCGCGGATAAATCAATGGCGAGTGGCTGCAAAAGGTGGCTGAGCAGCGATGAGGAACGCGTGGTGTCTTGTTAGGGAGGAAAATTCAGGATGATATGTGACAAAGCAGCAAAGTTTGGGGGCTGTTTAGAATTTGCGTAATTTCCTTGCTCGTCAGGCCTGGGATTCATCGTCATCATAATTATCACATGGCGGTCGTGTTGCTCGTAATGACGTGGAATAAAGTCCATTTTGGGGTGACATTATTGATGAGCTTTCGCTTCATTATACTGCGAAGCATTTCTGCCGGGCCGAAGCTCTTGTGTGTGTGTGGGTGCTTTTCGCCACCCCAAACGGCAAACAATGGAGTCTACTAGACCGTGAATTATACTATTTGGACGACAACACTCTCTCTCTCCGAAGGCCTCTTATTGTGTGTCCTCTTATGGAAAAATGCCTACATAAATAATTTTAATCCTCCGCCTGTTTGCCAGCGGAATATTTTCGCGTATAAATCACTTTAATATGGGTGATAATCAAAAGGTAATCAAGTACAGTTGTCGGTTTGTTTTGCGCGCACTGTCAAATTCCAAAAGGAGAGTTGCGCTTGAGAATGTAAACAGGATTAGAAATGTTCAGCAATTTTCACAGAAATGCTGCTTTTGCGGAATTGTTTACACAATTTTACGCATTTGTGAAAAGCCCAGCGGCGCTTTCTCTGGCGCTACAAGTTGCAAGAAATTGGGCGAATAAAAAATTAAGACGCTCAGCGCGATTATGTCTTGAAATAGAAAGATTCCTTCGTGGGTGAATTGAATGTATTTCCACCCACTGATTTCATATGAATATAAACCCATTATTGAGTGTACTGAAATTACACTGGCTGAGCCTAAAATTAAAATCATGTTCAATGTAATGTGCGGTGAAACTGAATCCAGCGATTCTAATTAAAAATTAACAACTGAAATCGAACACGTATTTTTAACACCCAAACCGTGTTTAATTATTTTCATCGGCGGCAGTTTTGGGACAAAGGAACACATCCTATCAAACATTAATGAAGCCAGTGTGTGTCAAGTAACATGATTTTAATTACCTATGAAATAATCAGTGAAAAATTGCACACATCCGAATTAAATATTAAATCTCTGTCTGGGTTTTGGTTTGCGCCAAGGGGCAAGTCACAAGGCGACTTTTGAGGAAATTCTCTAATCAAACAATCAATTATTTGAATAAAATAATAATAAAAAAAATTATTTTCTCAAGTAGAATTACAAAATAATCAAAATCCTGAATTAAAT